AAACTCAATGATATAGTAAATATTCATTAGTACTTTATGCATATTGATCTTATACAAAGAGTATGGAGCACTTTTCTAAGATGTTCATACAAGGATAATTATGTAAACAGTAATTTCAATTCAGTGAAATTAATTGATTTTTAAAAGTAAGAGGTCGAGAGGCAGAGAGTATTTTACAGTGACCCGGGAAATAAAATAATTATTAATAAATGTTATTTATAGCTTATTCTGTGCCTGACACTGTGCTTTATGTACATTATCTCATTTTGAAAGTAACAGAAAATTCTTATGCAATTGGTTTAAACAAAAAGGATAATTTCTTATCTAACAAGAAATCTGCAGGTGGATCAGCTTTAAGGTTGGTTAGTTAAGGGCCCTACAAAATCCAAGGATTCAGATTCCTTCCATGTCTTCATTGTGTCACTCTAGCTATCCTCATGTTTACAAAATGGCTGCAGCAGTTCTAGGTGTCACATCTAGATATGACAGCTTTCAGCAGAAGAAAGACGTTTTTTTCCTCGTATCGCTTTAAAGAGCAAGAAAACCCTTTCCGAGGCACCCCCAACATTCCCCGCCTCATGATTTTTTGCCCACCCTTAAGCTTGTTGTTGTTGTTAGGTGCCATCGAGTCAGTTCCGACTCATAGCAACCCTGTGTACAACAGAACGAAACACTGCCCGGTCCTGCACCATCCTCACAGTTGTTATGCTTGAATCCATTGTTGCAGCCACTGTGTCAGTCCATCTCATTGAGATCTTCCTCTTTTTCACTGACCCTCTAGTTTACGAAGCATTATGTCCTTCTCCAGGGACTGATACCGCTGATAACATGTCCAAAGTATGTGAGACATGGTCTCGCCATCCTTGCTTCTAAGGAGCATTCTGGTTGTACTTCTTCCAAGACAAATTAGTTTGTTCTTTTGGCAGTCCTTGGTATATTCAATATTCTTTGCCAACACCACAATTCAAAGGCATCAATTCTTCTTCGGTCTTTCTTATTCATGGTCCAGCTTTCGCATGCAACCCTTAAGGTAGACACTGGCAAGTAGGAACAGAATTACCGAGATTTGTTTAGACCAATAGATTTACCCCTAAATTGCATTGGGGTCACACTCCCTGTGCACAGTCTCATAGAGGAAGATGTTTACCTAAATAAAATTGCAATTCTATTTCAAAGGAAACAGGGAAATGGCTTTGGGATAGGCAGCTAACAATATCTACTACAGCTATCATCCCTTTTTTACAGTAGGAAAACTGAGGTGTATAAAATAAAGTAGCTTGCCATAATCACAGAGCTAATATGTGGTAGATTTAGAAATTGAACCTACATCTCTTTTACTCCTAAACCGTGCTTATAATCATAGTACTATTCATCCTCCCTGTGAAGACCGTAAAAACTTTAGAGGCCTTGGTGGTGGCTATGGTGGACATGCAGATATTGACCCAACTTTTCCCACCCTTCCACCTCTCAAATAACACTGGGCGAAATTAAAGGAAGGTATAAAATATAGTTTCTTCTTTCAAGAAGTTTACAGTTTAATTATTTCTGCAAAATAAGAGCAAAAAGGAAACAGCAGATGCTATGTATGGGAGACATAATTGAATATAACAGTGAAACAGTATCAAGGGGCTTCTTAAAAG